GAACTCCTGAGCTCAAACAAACTGCCCGCCTTGGCCTCCCAGAGAGCTAGGATTACAGGCGTGAGCCACCGCGCCCGGCCGCATTTAGGGTTTTAAGGATAAAATGGAACACAGGACTTGGGGGCTAGATGATATATTAGGCTAGTGCTACCCAGAGTCTGATCCCAGGGACCAGAACCAGTCTGGCGGCTGCTTGTTATCAGTGCACCCCCAGGTAACTACAGGGGTTGAGAGCAGGTGTTCAGAAACCTCCTGGCAATCTGCTGTTGGCACAGCATCTGACTGCATCCTCAGCGCCCTCATCTCATTGAACAGGAGAGAGACTGCTTCAGCGTTGTTGAACTTGAGTGGGGAGTTGGACGTGAAGCAAGCAGTGGAGGACCAGGGATTACACTGTGATGGATATGTAAAAAACAGCCAAAGTGACATTAACTGGTTTTTCATCACATATGGTGTAACAAGTGCTTGTACTCCATAAGCCTAATGTTAATGCGAGAAAATCAAGGTTCAGAAAGGTGATGTGACAGAGATAGTAGCTCGAATTTAGGTCTTCTAATTAATTACGACACAATCTCTTTCCAACATCACACAGAGCATTGTTTATTCACCTGCCGATCCTGAAGTCACAAAATAGTGCTTAATGTTCAGTTTTTATGAGGTTAGAATTCCTCTGTTTTAGGTAAAAGGAAACTAAATAATAGTGCTTCGAAAATATATTATTGCAATTCATGCTAACTTCCAATTCGATGGGTTTTCCTGAACAGATGAAAATTTTAAAAAGAAGCTCAAAGAAAAAAGTAAGGTTTTGGTATATTTCCATCAGCCTTTACATTCACCAAAAGTACTGCTTGGACTGTTCTTTGCATGGGTTTTAAAACATTTCTCTCACCAAAGATGTGAAGTTGCTTCATCGATAAGCTCTACATTTCTTCAAAGTGTGCAAAATAGAGGGTAAACAAATAAACAGTCAAAACAATGGGTAAAAAGTCATTTTGTAGATTTTGTCTGATTCAGCCCTTTTGCTCTACAAGACACAACAGGGCACACAGAGGGGTGGATATAAGAACACCTTCTCCTTGTGGTCCAGATGACATGGGGTCAGAGGACAAAATAACTTTCATACTCCTGTGGAAACCCACTATTGTAAAGGTTTACCAGAGTTGAAAAATAGTTTTGAACTTCGTTTTTGATTTTCAATGTTTAAAGTCCACTGTTTGTCTCAGATCTGCATTGGAAGCTCCTTCGAACATACTTCTTGGCCGCAGCAGAGATTTTATCCAGGCTGATTAATGGAGCCTGGATTATTTAGTGCAACATTCAGATAAGTCCTTAGTGAGCTCTTTCCCCCAGACATTGAATTTTCAATTCCTATAGAATATATCTTAATTGAAAATGTTACATCAGTGCTAAATGATGTACCACTGCTTTAAAAATTATCTAGAATAGTATTTTTTTTTCCCCAGAAGCAGGCAATTTTAGCTGAATTTTTTTTCTCTGTTTCAATTTTTTAGTTTGTGGTTTCACTTTGGGGTGACTTTTCATCTTCAAAATGTTTTAAGTGTTTAATTACTCAAGTAACACGCTTTTGTATTTGAATATCAAATTTTAAGGAAAACCACATTCAACTTACTTTTGGCCTTTATGTCTTGAAATCTGTTTTAAAATACTATTGGAAATGAAGTTTATAGATGAAGCAAATACTTACTATCCTTCTGTATGGAACCACAACCAGCTTCCTAGCATGAGTACTCATGTAAATATCACACTGCATCAGGCTCTCACCGGCCATGCCTCCCTCTGGGTTATGACTGAATATCATTTTCTCTGCTTTTGTCATTATGTGTACCATTCATTGCTTTCACCCACTGCTTTGTAGGTTCCTTTTTTGAAAAGTCTGTATTTTTATTGTTATAGCACTGAAATTTCATCTTTAGTGTTCTTCATGAAGATTTTGTTGTTGCCCTGAGAGGATAGCTAGGTCTCACATACCCTTATTTTCTTTCTGGAATGACAACTGTTGAGGTGAGATAGAAGGTGTTCATCTTTCAGATTTTCCCCAAGAGAGAATCTGGATGTTAAATGTGCCCTTTTTAAAAAAACAAATAAACCATTAACATCTTGACCTTAAGATATTTCAATCTGAAGAGTCAGTAGCTTCTCATCATTGTCACATGTGTTAACTGACTTCTGACTTAATGTTGTGTTACTTTCAGATATTGAAGTACAAAAAATGAAAAAGGCTGTGGAATCTTTGATGGCAGCAAATGAAGAAAAGGTATTCAGATGACATTTAAATATTTATGTGGATGTTTTGTGACAACATTCTGAGGCTCCCATATAATTTCATGAGATATCCTATATTTAAAGAACATACCCCAAACACTGCTGACATTAAGGGGCAAGTGTGCTCTGTCCCCGCCCAGGTGTGCACACTCCCAGTGGGGGCAGCTGTCGTTGTGGCTGTGTGCACAGGAGTAGGCACCAGCAGCACCAGCTCAACCGAGCACCCCTCACCAGCACGAATTTAGAAAATATTCCAGCATTCAGATCAGTTCTGCATTTCAGGTGACAAATAAAGGAAAGGATACATTCCATAGCACATCCTTTCTGTGGTCACTGGAAATTCTGAAGGAGGTAGCTCCGTGACAGTCTTGGCTTCACAGTCATGATGGATTTCTTCTCTGTAGACACGTTATTTCCTTCATTCTTCTGGCCGCTTTCACATCTGGGATTGTCTCTGCTCTCCTGAGAGATGAAAACCAGAAAACAGAGACACAGGCTTTGCTTCAGCTACATGGGCCTGATACCAAGGTCTCCATGGGTTCCCCGCCTCAGTTGGATCTCGTCACCCACATCTGGTGTTTCATCCTGCTAAGAGCACGGATGCAGTTACCCCACTAAGGCGTGTGTTTGTCGTGGCTTACCTGACCACACACGTATCTAACGCAGCCACAGTCAGGCTCAGCCCGTGTCATCAGAACTGCCATCCCCTTACGCGCCTGAATGATTAGAACGAGGGGACATTTTCTCAAGAAAAGAGAAATTTCAAAAAAGTAAAAAACGAAATGCCAAAGAACTTTGGCTTAATCTTTTTCTCTCATCATAAGTTTCTTTCTCAAATTCTTACCTAATGTTTTTCTTATTCATTTTTCCCTTTCACTCTCTTTATTTGCTCTTTATTCTTTAGAAATAAACTCATTGTCATACCCAGTTACCTATATATACCTCCTTTTTGTTAATCTTACCTACTATGGAATGAAAAGTAATTAGCAAGCTGCCCATCA